ACCACCTTTCCACAACACGTAAATTTTGCTGTAGAAGATCAGAAATAGTGCTCTCAAATTTTCCCCGCACGACGAAGGCCACATCGTCAGCGTATCCCCAGACACGCGCCCCGGAGCCCCTGAGAGCAGCTATTAGATCATCCACTACAATGGACCACAGGAGGGGCGAAAGAACCCCGCCCTGCGGACATCCTTTTGCAGCGGAGATGAAGAGTATATCTTCAGCTATGGTGGACTTAATAATCCTATCCTGTAGCATCCGATTGACCCATCTGCTAGTCGTCGCATCAATCCCTCGTTTGTGCAACGACTCACAGATGACATGATATGGGGTGTTGTCAAAAGCTCCCTCTATATCAAGGAAGCAGCCAACTGCTACCTCCCGCACCTCCAGTGAGTTTTCAAGGACCCCCACCAGACTCTGCAGAGCGAGTACAGTAGACCTTCCCGACTGATAGGCGTATTGAGATTCATGCAAGGGATTGCTTCCCAGTGCACCGTCCCGTATAAATCTATCAATCACTTTTTCCATTGCTTTCAATAGAAAAGAAGTAAGGCTGATTGGACGGAAAGACCTTGGGTGGTTGCTTGGTCGCTTACCCACCTTCGGAATATACGTCACTTTAGCCACCCTCCATGCCTGAGGGATGTAACCCCACGCATAGCTGGCGCGAAAAATTCCCAACAGTGCTCTAGCGATATGTTGGAAACCCCTCTGCAAAAATGCAGGATATATCCCGTCATCACCTGGAGATTTGAAGGGCCTGAAAGAGAAAACAGCCCATCTAATCCTGCCCATCGTGAAGACTAGACGGGATCGTTGCCAGTCATCCCTCCTGGGCCAGGGTGCCCCCGGTTCGATGACTGCATTTGAGTGATTCCGAAGAATCTCCGAGTCAGGAAAGTGCGTTGACGCCATAAGCTCCAACGTCTGCCTTCCGTTCTCAGTCATGGAGCCATCAGGACGTTCCATTAGGCCCAACCTGCTAGCATACTTTTTGGAAAGCACCCTGTGAAGACGCGCACTGCTGGGGAGTTCATCAATGCCCTTGCAGAACGCTCTCCACGAGATTCTCTTCGCTTTCCTAATTTCCTTATTGTATTTTGTGAGTGAGTCCTTATACTCTTCCCACGAACCTGACGCTTTGGCCTTATTGAATAGCTTCCTGGTCTTTTGTCTAAGCCTTGAAAGCTCCTCATTCCACCACGGGCACTTCCTATTGCTCCGCCTCGGCTTAGCACGGCAGCTCCCGTGATAGGCATTAGTAATAGCCGCCGTCAGGGCCTCGCTGGCCAGTTCGATATCCATCACCGTTCTGACAGAAGCAGGAACGGATCTAATCCCATCCATGAGGAGCGTTTCGAATTGACTCCAATCTGTGGATTGGGGCACCCGATAAATTTCTTCTGCCAGGCCTCCGGAGACCATGATATCAAACCTAATCTGCCTATGATCGGACATGGATGTCTCATTTGAGACATGCCATCCACCAACCCTACTGCCGATAAATTCAGTGCAAAGGGTGATGTCAAGGACCTCTTCCCTAATTGCATTTATGAATGTCGGCCTATTGCCTTCATTCATAATCATTAATTTATTGCTATATATAAATTCAAGTAGGCACTCACCTCTTTTGTTTATATTGCTGCTTCCCCAGACGGTGTGGTGGGCATTGGCATCACTTCCTATTATAAGTTGGAAGTTCCTCCTTCCACAAAAGTCCACTAGATCCTTCAGTTGCTCGTCCGGGTGGGCACAGTCCCCCGGGAGGTAGGATGAGCACACAATGAACTCTGTCCAGCCCCCGCAGGACTTCACCTTCACCAACGCAGCTACCTGATCCTTAGAACAGTAATCTGGAATGGGAAAATACGTTAGCTTTTTACTAAACAAGATGCAAGCCCTAGGCCTGCCCCCAATTGTATTATCATACAATAGCTCACCTGTTAGGCCCTTAACCTGATCCTTCACTATGTAAGGCTCTTGGATAAGGGCGATATCGAGGTGATCCTTCATAAATCTATGAGTCAGAACATCAGTAGATGCCCTAGCATGCTGTAGATTTATTTGGATGCACCTCACAGCCATATTATTTCCTCCGGCTCTTGTCTATGGGCTTTGGCCCTTTAGACAAAGGCTTTACATGAGCCTTACCTCCCATTGTCGCCCTTTTTACCCATCTTGGTGGGCGCCTGCCCTGCCACAGCCTCTTTTGCCGCCCCAGGTGCCACGCTAGCCCCTCCAACAGCAAATACCGAAGCATTTCCGGGCTTCCCAATGGGCTTGAGCCCTTTTGGTTCCCCCGGGACGCTTGTATTTGGCGTGCTGGTCGATGGTCCTTCCGTTTCCCTTGCCGCCATTTTCGGAGCGACTTCAGACTTTCCAATGAGTTTTGGCTCTTTTGGTTGGCCTGAAGTGCTCGTCGTTGTTGCGGTGGGCACTGGTTTTTTATTTTGTCCTGCCCTGCCGCCAGCACCTTGAGAGGATTTTCTTCCTTTAACCCGAACGGTAACACGGAAGAAATTCAGGAAAAGTCGGAACTCCGCTTTCCGTAGATCTTCCAATCCGGAATCATCCACGGAAAAGGTGATGGAGCAGCCCCCGTCCTTTTCCTTATCCATCCTCAGCACCCTCCAGGAACCTATCTTGAGGCTGGGATTTTGCTTCCCTATCCTACTTAGAAATTTGTCCCTGGAGAGACTGACGGTTGTCTCGTCCTTTGGTACGTAGGTGACGCAGACATGCTGTTTGGGCATGCTGTCGCCATCCAGTACCACGACATCGCAACCGTCCCAAGGCTTTATTTTCCTGCAGACACTGGTTATCCACTCCCTGGTGTTTTGATTGTTGCATGTTACGGATATCCATCCGTCCCTTTGCAACGCTGCAGTGAATTGTGGATGAGAGTCCACAACCCTATCCATTTCATCCATGATGGCTACTTTGATTTTCCCCATCTGGACTTCGGATAGCCTTTCCTCTGGATGCAGTCTATGAGTGATGGCCACCTTGACCTGTGCTACTGCATCCCGATAAGAAGTCATTTTCGGGTTTTGTTGAGGAATGTTCCCAGGGACCTTTTCCTCAACATTTCCCTTCATCGACCTCTTCTTTGAGGGCCCTGCATCAGGGGTGTTGCTTTCCGACCTTTCCCTCTTTTGGGGATGGTCGGCCACAACAACCGATCCGCAGGCCTTCAGCTTTTCCAGCCTTTCTTTCTCGTATCTGCGAGCCAAATTAACTTGGATATAAATACTTATCTTGCTCTTGAAATACATATCAGCATAAAGTATCTTTTTGGGAATTAAAAGAAATTTTTTTTTGATTTTAAAATTTTTTTTAGAAAACAACACGTAATATTTTATAATTTCTACGAACCCTAAATACAATCTAATTTTTGCAAGGCAATAATAAATTTTTTCTATTCATAACCATCTAACTTAAAAAACAAATATTATTAATTCATATTTACAAAAAACATTGTATGTTAATTATAATTAACTTAAAATTTCATTGTACATTCAAATATGCATTGAGATTCTTCAAATACGAAAAGCCGATTTTCTTACACGCCTCATTCTAATAAACATGTATATGGTTTATGCTATAATTTAATTATTCGAACTAGTATAATATGTGTGTATGTAAATAATATATCTAAACGGGACAAATCTTCCTTAGATTTACGAAATAAATTACAAATTTATAATACCGTTCAAAAATAAATATTAAAAATATAACAAAATTACTAGAATTTTTTTATATTTACACTATCATAAATCCTTACAAGTATGTATAAATCTACGGTTTCGTCTTACCTATTGTTAATTTTTATTATGAAAAGCTATTACCAACAAAAACAGCACTTCAATATAATTTGTCACACTTTGATAATCTATTGATCGAATTCGAAATTTTCTTGTTTTGTTTTTTTTTTTGGTTCATGCTTTTAAAGTCATAAGTTTTTATAATATCTGATGGTGCTTTTTAATATTTGAAAAATCATAATAATCAATTAATATGTAAGACCTTCAAAATGTCTAGACGAACAATATTATAATATAAATCTATTATAGGCATATATTTATTTAACATTCTGAGATATATATATATATGTATATAATACAATAATACAATAAAATTTATGATTCGTTCTGAGAGATTGATTTTAATAAAATGTACTACTTGTATATAAAACAAATTATGGTTGATTAAATAAGTTTATTTTACCTAATATTTTGTTTGTTTTCTATTTCATTCCGTGATTTAGGCTTTATTTTATATAAAAGTATGAGGAAAATAAAAGCAATTCATTTGTAATTTGATAAATTATCCGAAATATTAAATAAAGAGAATTTAAATATCAAAATTAATATTTTCTTTTGAATGGTAATTTAAAAATAATAATATAAAACATTCCAGTTTTATCCGAATTATTTTAGTACTATGATTTAAAACAAATTTAATAAAATCAAAAATGTTATATGATTGATGCATTTGAAAGTCTAGCCAGAAAAACCTTGTAAAAACCTCTTGCTCCACTTCTTTCTTTCTTAATGCTATTAAATCGAATTTTTTGGCGAATATCACATATTTAAGATTAATACTTAATTTTCGGTTCTTCGAAGTTAAGCCAACCAACTATATATTCATATTTCTAGTTAATATTTGAAAATTTTAAAAAATAATCAACTAATAATAGTGTTAAGAAATATACAGCTCAAAAGCCATAGGGCCGAAAAATTCTGTAAATTATTTTAAATTCTGTAAATTTATTTAAAATCAGAAACACAGTTAATTGAACATTGAATCCTTTTATTATAAACATTGTGGTCTAAATTCTAAAATTAATAAAAAAAAATTCAAATAATATTTTATCTCAAATATATATTTAAAAAATGTATTTAAAAATTAATTATCACTCTTATATATCATCCTATACAGGTATAATTTCCAAAAATTATTATAGTTTTATGCAATACTAAAAAAAAATAGCATAAACTAAACATATAATTGCGCATTTATATATGTATAAATATTTATACTTATGTATATTATGTGTAAACACATATTTAACATTTTTTTTTTCTCATCATATACATAATAAAATCATACATACGTGCATACATATGTAGTTATTAAACTTAATCTAAAAAAAATTTCATAAATAATATAAAATAATTTATAATTATTTCTATTAGAAGAAAAAACAAAAAATCATTTTAAGAAAAATTAAAATGAATAAAATTATAATTTTTTTTTTCTTTGCTTAAATAGACATTAATATGCATGTGATTTTAAAATATATTAAATTTTGTATTAATTTTTATCATCGGCCTGTCTTTCTTTTATAAAATCTTGAATTTTTTTTGTTACATATGTATTTTCATTACGTCTCTTTTTTATTAAAACTTCATCATTGTCAAATGGTAAATTACGTCTTCCTGCTTTAATATGTTGATTAATTTTTTCAAGTTCTTTTGCTGGACTTTTATATATATTGAATGTATATTTAACTGGTGATTGTGATATATTTGCCTTTTCTAATGTTTTAATATACAAATGATGATTTGCAGTCAATTTTCTAGGAGACATCATTTTTTCTGGAGGATGTGGTGACAATAATAAATTAACACCACGTTGTGTATTTTCACCAAATCCTAATACATAAGATTGCATCATTGGAACATAAACAGCATTATAAAAACTTATAATATCATTATAAAATGCTGGCTCTTTTTCACCATTTGGTTTTTCAATTGCTGGTTTAATTAAAACTTCTCTATATATATTACTTGCAGCTTGTGGTTGATTTCTATAATATTTCATAATATCTGTAAAAGTTTTGCCTGATACTTCTTTTACTTTAATAAAAACATAAATTGCACACATTATTAATTGATCAAGATGTCTATCACGCATTAATTCCGTTTTGTTTACAATGGAATATTCAAATATAGTCCAAATTTGATTTAAAATAATATCGTCCTGTAAATCTAATTCTTTACATAATTCATGAATTCTCATATAAGCTAATTTATAAAATTTTCGTAAAAATAACTTTACTGAATTGATTCCCTTTTTTGGAGTATCTTCCTGCTGTTGCAGTTTATTTTGGGTATTGTGCTGTATTTTTTCATTAGTTTTTGTTACTTCTGCAGCAGCTGCCTTACCAACATTAAATAAATCTCTACGAGCACAATCGGAACCCGTTGCTACTTGGTTGAAACATTCGTATGCAGAATTAATTGGTGAAAGAATAACTTGTCGGTTATTAACATTCTCTAAATTAACACTATGAACATTAATACGATTATCTACATTAGACCATGGCGGAATGGAACCATTCAATTGTTTAATATGGACCCATAATGGTGATACTCCTTTCCAAGATAAATAATCTAAGCATTTCTCTTCAATTGTATTTAAATGTATTATAAGAGATCGGGTAAGAATATCTTCATGCCTTGTAACAACAATTTCTATAATTTTATAAAAATTAAATGCCTGAATATCAAAACACTTTAATATCCAAGGGAATTTTACATCGGAATTGTAAGCAGCAATAACAATTTCAACACAGCATGCAATCAAAGTTGTATGCAATATTTCGTTATCTAACAAAATTTGTAACTTTAAAGTTGGCTTGTTTCTTAATTCAGCTCTGGTAATTTTCTCCAACAAATTATAGTAAATATTTTTCGCTAAATTAAATTTATTTAAGTCCTCATATTTCGATGGGTATTTTTCACAAAAAGTGTTGCACATCACAGATATTCTTTCCTCTATTTTTGTTGTACATATTCCAGCTTGATTTAGATACTTTAGAAATTCTATTGAAAAATGACGATCACCCAGAGCTTTTAATTTTTTAACGTTTTGTGTAGCGTTGAAAATTGGTTCAGATGTTTCTTTGTTAGGTAAATGATGCCTGCGAGTTAAAGGTGTACATGGAATCAATGATTTAATGCTTTTCTCGAAATCGATATCTGTATTGGATTGTTTAACATTAATATTATTAAGCAAAATTCTTTCATCAATTTCTCCAATACTTAAAACATATTGTTCGTACGAGTTATTAATTGATTTGTAATTATATTCAAAGTTTTGCATTGTCAAAATATCCAAAAAATTTTTGTCAGTTCCTTGCAGTATTTTGTTTTTCAAAAATTTTTCTATAATTGTTTTAAATGAATACATTTTAATATCCTTCGCCTCTATGTATTGTGCATCATGCATTTGGCAAAGCTCATGTAAAACTCGAAACTCTTTTTCAACGTCAGCAAATTTTGATTTGATAGTTTCGGCAAAATTTCCATTAATCAGCTCAGTTCGTTTCTCCCTTAATATGCACAAATATATCAGATCCATTCCACAAAGTAATAAATGAAACGATGTTACTATATCAAGTGTATGATTTGGATCCTCACTTTTGGCACTTAAAAATAAACACCAACAAAATTCATAAAGCATGGAAGATGAAATTGTTCCTGGCTTTGATTTCTTCGTCTTCTTGTCGTTTTCTGGCAAAATAAACATTTTTTGAAACGTCTCATTATACTTATGATAGAGAACACATGAAATTCCAAAACTTCTTTCCAATCTTTCAATTTGATTTATGAAACTTTGGGATAATTTTGTAAATTCAATCCACTTTCGTATCTTTGTTAGAAATTCACTAATACTGATTTGACAACTCCTTAATAACTTCGTCAAGGAAACACAATTTCCTTTAATTACTGACCCAGCAGATCCAACAGTGGGTGTAAAAGAGTCCCGACAAGCAGCATATAGAGCACAACAAAGCCAGTGACTTGATTCTCCTTCCAAATTATTTGTCTTGATAACTTCTTGAAATGTCCTCCACGATTTTTGTTCAGTTTCTTTGTCCATATTTAATTCTCTACATATGTTAACATATTTTTGAGAAATTTTCTCTATGTCTTTTTTATCAGTAGTCATTTTGATAAATTATACATGCACGATATTGATTTTAATTATTTTTTACAAAATCTTTGTCGATAAAAAATTCTCTAATGCTAATTTGACAACTTCCACCCGCTAAAAATATTTAGTACTTTCCAAAAGTAATGTACATTTCAATATAAAAGTGCATTTTGACATTTATTTTCCTCTTTTATACAGCAGCGCCCGTCACATTTTGTTACTATATTAATTTTTCACGCAACTAAATGTTTGTTTACAAGTTTTTATATAAAATTTTACATTTTTATATGAATGGCGATTAAAAATGAAGATGAAATTTACTGTCTTCAATTTATACTGCCATTGATCTAATACTGTTGAAAATCAGTTTGTAACAGAATCTAGAATCCACCATCTAAAATACAAACAAAATTTTAAGCTTTTCGTGAATTACTTTTAATATTTATATATAATTATTTGGTAAATTCGTCGTTTTAATTTTAAACAAAATGCTTTAAGTCCGTTTTTAATAAAATGTTCAATTAAAAATTTAATACAAGTTTGGTGTAGCTATTTGTCTATTTGTATTTTGATCACATTTGTCATTTTTTAGTTTTGACATAAAGTACTCGTTTTTATTATCACAACTACTTTATTTAGCTTTAGCTCTGTGTATTGAAACGTGATTCTGTAAGGGAGGCAAGAGGAAGTCAACTTTTATTTTCTATAACTTTAATACACTTCTAAACATTGATACTTATTTAGTCAAAATAAACACTTTTTAATTTTTTTGACTTTTAATTGCTTTGACTTTTCAATAAAATGCTACACTATTGTGAATGAAGGAAATTGACATTTAATTGACCAAAAAACTGACATTTAAAATTTGACGTGTAAAAACAATATTGGCATAAAAAGAAAATTTTTAACTTAAGGCTTCTTATTTTTTCAAAAGTTTTAAATTATCTAAATTAAAGTATTAAATTTTATGAAGGATTTTAAATTACAATGAGTGGATACCCTAACAACAGTGGTTACTTTGAAAGGTTGCTTAAATACGCGTCTGTCGCTGGTATATCTAGGGATATTGTTAACTTTAAAAAGATGTGCCGATTATGTATGTTCGAAAGCGAAGATCAAGATAATTTAGATTCCTTTATACAAGTTGATATGGCTGATACCATTGGAACTCAATTTAGCAATAAACAATCAATTTCATTTATTTTAAAAAATGTGATAGGTCTCCCTATAAGTGTAAGCTGTTTACTTATCGAAACATATGCGTACTCATGTCTATATAATTATGTTTTAGACTTTTAGAGACAGAGACATGCCCCAACAAATTTGCCGAAAATGTATTGTTAGAATTGGAGAATTATATGCCTTTCAAATTCAGTGTCATAAGATAGATTACTTGTATAAAGAATTACGACAAATAATGAAATATTATTACTTAGATTATGATGGGCAAAATTATTATTCTGAGGAAATTGATGAATATGGTGATAATTTCGAGGTCGAATATTTAGAAGATAATGTACAAGCTTACGAGGTTGTTGAAACTTTAGATCAATACGAAAATGAATCAAATGCTGCCGGAAGTAGAGAGTCATATGAAAAAACAAATCAAAGTGAAGAAACAAAAAGGTAATTTTAAAAGAATTCTCTTCATATAACTCGAAATTAACATTTTTATTTCCAGACCCTTTACTCCCGATTTTCCTGAAATTATTGAATGTTGCTTTTGTAAGCAAACTTTTGGAACAAAAAAAGCTAGAAAAAGACATTTAAAAACAACTCATTCTGGGATTCAGTATGCACCATGCATGTTGTGTCCGAAAATATTTTCGACCCGGTCCAGTTGCTCACGACATATGTTAAAATTTCATGGCGAAAATACAAGAAAAGTATGCCAAATATGTTTCAAAGTTAAACTTAATAGAGAAGAAATGAAGGTGCACTTAGAGTAAGAAAAATTTAAGAAATAGTGCTTTAATAAATCTTTAATCATGTATATATGCTTTATAGAACTCATAAAAAAAAACCAAACCTGCAAGTTGTTGAAAACAAGGACCCTCTTGAAATTAAAAATGATAAAGTAAATACAGAAAATAAAATTGATATTACGGATAAAGTTGATTCTATCGAAGAAGCCTTAGCAAATATTTTAGATACAAGGTAAAACGAAATGTAATTAATATAATAAATTCAATTCCAAATATTAAATAAAATTTTAGTACTGGAGATCAAGATCATGACAACGGTGAAAGTGAAAATTTTACTGAACTATCTGATAAAGCATACCGATGTCCTAATTTAGAATGTCGCAATAATTTTAAAACTAACGTAACATTTTTAAATAATACCAATGAAGGTGGCCTTTTAGCAGAATGTCTTAATTGTCATCTCCAATATCCAATAAAAACATGTGAACTCGATTTAGAACCTGATGCATTTGTTTCATCGATAGAAATAAATGATGACAAGGCTTTCCAAAAAAATTTCATTGAATTAACGGCAACCATCGATAGAGAAAAAGATGACACACAAAATGAGTCTTAGCCTTAAGTAACCGATATCTAGCATTTTTATTTTAAACATTTTTTTTTTTCAAATTGTATAGTTCTTAAGCTTAACTTAAAAATAAAAAAACTAGCAAAATGTTTGAAAATAACAAAGAAAATAAATGTCTTTTATAACCATCATTCATACAATTTAAGATGACCCAAGAAACATCTGCTTTGCATTCCGAATTTTTGTTTGGAATTTATAATGAAAATTTGAAGGTATCCCTAAAGAGTTCCCAGTTTCAAATTCGAATGTTTTTTTTTCACCTATGCAACTCCAACAAATATATAAAAACTTACATTGTATTCTATTTTTTCGTGTGCATCTTTAAGAATACCGAAATATTCGAAAGATGCAATTAAATTAAACAAAGATACGAATTTCTCTCATATAATAAATGTTTTATGTAACTTTATATATACAACATATGTACATATATATATGTATTTCATATATATAAATACAAATAATTTTTTTTGTTTAAATAACTTAAAGGCTATCAGAAAGTAGGAGAAGCTTTCAATAAAACAATAATTATCAAATTTTTTTAAAAATAAAAATATTTGTTTAATAAATTGAAATGTAAACTAAATTCTATATTTATAAAACAATTGTTATTTAATACTCTTTTTTTCTTAAATAAAAATTTTAATTTTCAATATTTTAAAATTTGAAGATGTAATAAAAAGAGATTTTGAGTCTTTGTAACTAATAAATATGAAATCTAAACTGCTTTTTTCCAAATACTGAAAGGTTCATCAAAAGGCGCATTCTATTTGTTAGAAAAGCTCAAATCTATATGATTCATTGATAGTTCTTTATTTAAAAATCCTGATATATACCTCTTCTTTAATTCATTCTTGGCGCACTGGGGTAATTCAGAGGATTTATAGCTAAATGAGTTGTTAACTTAGCACCATCTGAAAAAAATCGATAGTGCTAGTACATAATATATGCTCGCTCTATTCTCGTTTATTATATAAATCAACCTTAATTAGATTTACACCACTGAATAATATATTTAGAGCGATGTCAAATTCTGTAATGCAGCTTGAAAGTTATTGATTTTAATTATTTAATTCACATTTCAATTACATTTTTTGAATCACTTTCAAAGGCAATCAGTTATCACACTACTACTACAAAAATTTACACAGGAATATAAATTGAATTTTCACTTTATTTTTTAAAAAATTAGTTACTATTAGAATAACAGACATCAGACTTGTACCCTGAATAACAGGCATTAGTCAAAGCCTTACATTGCATAAATACATGAGATATGTAATAACCATGAAATAATTAAAAAACTGTTTGATATTTCACTTTATTTTATGTTTTTTATTATAAATGTAAAAATATTTTACACTATAAAGTTACTCGAAAATATATAAGATAAATAAAATTTTGTTTTATAAGTACATCTACTTATATTAAGGTACATAATGCAAATAAATTCATTAAAATTGTAAAATATTTTCAAATTTTAAGCAATAGAACAAATAATATAGTCTATATATGTAATTCTACCATTTTTAGTAAACTTTTATCAAAAAAAAAAATTATTTTGTTCAGATTTCAACATTCAAAAATGTTTTCTATAGTTTCGTTAATATTTCGAAATATTATGCATTTTCATTATCAAACTCTTTTAATCAATTATTTTATCAATTATAATTAAGTTATACTCGTAAATCCTCTTTATTATTTATTTAATGTTTTGGAAATACTGGGTTGACGATTCATAAAACGATATATATGAGCGTCATGTTGAAACATTAAATTCCTTTCTTGTACAATAATTTCAGTTTCATTTATAATTGTTGGTGTTTGTTTTTTCTCTTGCATTTCTTGATATTGTTCGATTTGTTGCTGGTGACGTTGTGTTTGACATGGTTCACAAAATAAATCTTGTGTTGATAAATTTTTAGCTGAAGTAACACCAACAATATCATTAACAGGATTTATTGGAAATCTTTTCCAATGTTCACATGGTAAACGACGTGGATAACTTGTTGGAAAATGTGAATATTCGGGTGTATTCATCATATCAGTTCTATATTCGAAGTTGATTAATTTGTAACTGATTTTTTTACTTAAATTCTTTTCCATAATTCTATTTTTTTATTTTTTGTTTACTTGTATAATAAATATTCTGATAAACTTGAGAAATGAAAGGCAAAATCAAAAATTAAAATTTTTAAAAAAGCTTTTTGGTACGATAGGGGGCCCAAGAGGGTTTGTTAATTTCAAGTATATTTTTTCAATATTGTTTTACTACAAGTACATAATATGGAAGTATTTTGTTATTCTTCTTGCCTCCTTCTTCTCGTTCTTTACACCTACAATATAGAAATTAAAAAAAGAATAATCAAAATAATAATAAAAATGTTAATAGCTATATAATACATATATATATATATATATATATACATACATAATTATATAAATAAAAAATTGTTTAAATACAGTTAGCATGCGCATATTCTTCTAATATAATACAAGTGTTTTTTTATACATACTCGAATTTCTGTTCAATTTGGAGTAGATAAAGATTTCAATAACAAAAAATGTCAATGAATCGTAAATAATTTTTTTTTTGTTATTAATTTAAGATAGTAAGCATTTTAATACATGTATGCATATTATACGCTTGTATACGAGTATATAGTAAGTCACCTGTATAACACTTCATATAATACAGGTAAGTTGATAAACTGCAATGTTCCGCGAGAAAAATTAATTTTTATGAATCAAATACAAAAATTTGTTCAAAAGATCAAGTAATAAATTTTAACCTAATTTCAAATGAAAACAATTAATTATTTTAATATTTTATTTTTAAAATTTAAAACTGTTTAATATTAGCATTGAACTGTTCGAATATATTTATGTATTACATTTTAATAGTGTTATACGATTTAAATTATATCAAAGTATGTTATATATATTTTAGAACTTCTTAAAGAGTTACGCCTATAAATATACAATAATTATACAATCTGATAAAATTTTAATTTGATTTTTAATTTACATTTCCTTTACAGTTTTTTTCACATATTTACTCTTAAATACATATACAAAGGTAGAATTAAAAAATTCATTAACTATTTCTGCTTTCTACTGAATTTTATTTTGAAATATAAAAAAATTTATTAATTAAAAATGTAAAACCTAAGGTACCCAAATATGTTTCTCATTATTATATATACTCGGTTAATATATGTACATACTAGATTTCTAATTTTGTGCATTGTTTTGTCTATTCTGTGCAGTTCTGTTCACACCTAAAATATTACTTATTTTACCAACCAATAATATTATTAGAATTTACCTTCTAAAAACCTACTAAAAGTATGATATTAAAATTTTGACTATTTAATTGCCGAAAAAAAATCAAAAATCTATGTGCAGTTATATGAAACAAACATAAATATTGTATGTCATGTATTTTCCGTATAAATACGAAGTTCGGCTACAAAATATTACAAATTAAACCTGAAAAATAAAAACATGGAAAAATGTGGGTACTTTAGAAAACGTCGGTACTTTAGAAAACTTAAATGTTTAGCTACTTTTTGATTTGAAAATTTCAGCGGGAATATTATATCATTTACCGGCTTAATATTGATTTCCAATACTGCAATCGACAACAAATGGTTGGCATAAGTAATAAGTTGAACGTAATTACAAGTCAAAAAAAATTGAATCAATGGCTAAATTAAAGTAATTTTATTTTCATATTTGACAAGATGGAAACCATATTCGAGCAGCAGTATATTTTTCCGTTAACAGTGAAATGACAAACTAAACTAAGTAAATTTGACGTTGACATATCATTACCATATGAAAACATGAGGAAAAGGATGACATACGATCTAATATATGAAAAATTTATAGTTGATGATCAAAAAACTAAAATTCGTAATTACCATAATAGGATCATTTAAAAATTTTCACAATTTATTCATATTTTTCATATTATTTTTTATCATATAGATTGCAAAAGCTTTGAATAACAATAAAAAATAATTTTTATAATGTTTACATAATTTATTCATTTATATAAAATGTACTCGTACATACTTATAAATTAATAATAATTAAAATAATTGTTATCAGTTATTTGCACAATGAAATACACATAGTGAGATTTTAATATTTGATAGCAGAAAAAAAAAACAAGCGTTATACTCGCACTTTTATGTATGGATGGATATACACTACGTATGTATGTAAGAATATTGTTGTAGGTATTAATTATTCTACCTATTATATGTTACCAGCAAACTGGATAATTTTAGATTTTCGATTTGTATAACAAATTTTTTTTTAGAACAGTAACAAAAATTCTGTTATACATATTATAATGAAAAATTTTACATTAGGATTTTCTTTAATCCTTAATTTTCATATAAATCTTACAAATTCCGTGATCTTAGAGAAAAACTACCGAAGTCGGAAAAACTTTATTTTAAAGTTTAGGTTTAATTCTAAAACAAAATTGTATAGTTCTTATATCTAAGATAGTAACCATAAAAATCAAATCTCATATCACAAATTAAAATTTTCAATATTGTAATAAAGAGCTTCAAAACTTGTTTTTGATTATACAGTAAGTTTCTCTCTGTAACCACAGAGCTGTTACTTACATAAACACAAATATAACAATATAATGCTAATGACAATAATTAAATTATAATAATATTTGCTAATGACAACAACAATATTATTATTATTATTTCTAACAAACAATACCTATAAATTATTTAAGTATAAAATTTTTTAAATTAGTTTGGAATTTTAAAAAAAAAGTTTTAGAAAACTATGATAAACCGCAATTGTTATTACTTTAGAAAAAATAAATATAAAAATTTGAATTCTTGTTTTAATTTTTTTTTAAATATTTCCAAATCAATGTAACTTTTTAAAAAATTAAATCTAATTTGGAAATAATATTATATTTTCTAAAAATTTTTGAAAACTATCAATTGAGGATAACATCATCCAGTCTACAAAATTATAGTTATATTTTGGTATTCCGCATTTTCTACAATTTAAATTTTTAATAACAAATCCAAAATAAAAAAAATTTTAATTTAATTTATTACACATTTTCTTAACAATTTTAATAATTAAATTTCTAAATTTCACTTAAAATTGATATATGTATAACACATATATTGATATCTATATATGCATATATATGTGTTATTATCATACGAGTATTATACGTAAATAATGACAGTGTACACACATAACAATAATTACAACGTAAATTACTCAT